TTTCCAACTATTTGTATAGTATCAGTCGCTATGCTACCCCATCCTCGAACAGAGGTATTCTTCTTTAGCCATATCTACCGTTTGACTACTGCGAATTCGCCTTCGAACATTTTACTAGTAGGGTTTGATCGTCTTGGATTATATCTAGTGTATTACCAGGAGACAAATAGTCAAGTCTATAGAATAAGGATTATTTTTAATGGACAACAGTGGGTGCGCCTTTGTTAATGCTTCACATTTCTTTAGATCAAACAGCATATGGGAAAATTCTACTACCAGTCCTTCATTGCCTTAAACTAAATACGATGAATACATCTCATATTACTGATTTAATGGTAGTCCCGAAACTACTTAAATACCATATGAACATTTTTAGACCTTCCATGGCGTTCGAGTTTACGAACCCTTTTGTATTTCCAGATCAAATCAATGCTACATTGACGTGAATACTAAACCTAACTCATCTTGAGCTTGCGAATTTATTTCTTGCGCGGTCGTTGTTTCCTTAGTTTAAAGTATACTTGATTCGGGCCATTGGTGGTTGCTGTTATATTTGTTTCTGGAGTGTTTTTTCATTCTGCTCAATCGTTCGTTGGATGAAAGGCACAGTGCTGTGGTTGGGTGATGCAGTCGAACGGGCCCTCTGCGTCTTGTTTATTTAGGCTGAGTCAACTCCGGTTTACAGTTGAGTTTACAATTTAACTAACAGCAAATATTCATGGGAAAGCAGGTTTCTTATTCGACCGCATTTTTTCGGCTTATACAGGCTTTCGGGAAATCATAGTTCTTGTTCTTTTTAGACACTCAACAATCGTTCATCCTTCGCCGAGCAAATCTCAACCTAGGTTAAACTGAAACCGATTCACTCTGGATAACAAGGCAGAATAATACATGGTTTTCCATTAGTTATAACTCGTTAGCAAAAGTGCGCAACCGACTAGCTCTTTTCTATTTAGGTCAACCATCTAGTGACTTATTGTGAAACTTTTCTCTCGATTTATCGTGGAATAAATATAACCATGGAAGAGAATTTCGCGACACATTTCACCAAGGGGACAGTCGTGCCCACTGATCATCTTCTAGGCCCTAATCCAACGACCTTTGGCACCTTCATTACTACCTGGAATTAGTTACTCATCTGCTTTTTTGTCTGTTTACGCCTTGGCTTTGTCATCGCCTCTCCAACAATAAGCCTATATGCTACTTTTGCAACGGACAATATTGGTATGAAAATTGGCCTGAAGGCAACACGTTTTCCGCCCGCCATTGTAGCCATTTCGGATCGTGAGTTGAGGTTGTTTGCCTTAAAAAAACTAGCATCTAGTTTGCTCGTTCTACACCCGTCGCCTGGCGCACGAGTGCGCGAACATCGACTCGCTCAGTTGGGAGGCTGCATTGCTGACGGAGACCCGATGTGGGGATGTCGTGTGTGATGCAGCGTTGAGTCGGCCAGACAACGCGATCCCTGAGCGACGCATGTTCTATCGGCCGGCCAAGCTGCTGGTTCGAGGACGGGCTTTGGTGTCTGTCGACCTGTCGATCTTATGATCCGAGAGGATAGATAATAAGTCCACGTCGAGTAGGGCAAGGCAGCCAGCCAGCTCATCCGGTACTGGCAAGCTTCGCCGTACAAGCCTTTCTCCCCTAGGCTCCTCCGTGTTACCCTATCGCATGCCTTCCCACCCGTCTCCGATCGCATCGACCCGCCTCCACATTTCACATGTATGAAAGCTGGGCTGGCTGATCTGTACCTCTGTCTGCCCGTCCGCTCGCCCGGCCATCCGCCTCACTCACTTCCTCTACATCAGCCCACCTGAGCCACACATGCACACATGCACAACCGGCTGCTTCAGTTCGCTCAGACGTCCTCAGTACACGCAGATTGCCACATCACATCGCCAGGCCTTCCAGCAATGCTTCGCAGACCGGCCCTGGCGAACCGA